GTAACACTTTCTTCGTGTTCAAAACTTTGGGAAAAAGAGTGCTGTCACTTATAATTTTCATGTTTCACCGTTTATTTACTTTTTTTTGGTCACCAATATTGCAAAACATACTTTTTTCACGATACATGAGTTAACAACAATTAAATTGTGAAAATGTAATAGGTTGATACAGATATGGTAATATAAGCGACGTAACATAATATAATATTTATTGCCTTTTATACTTTTATATACTAGTGTATTTTACGGAAGAGCATCGTGTCATATTACTGGCAGGCAGAATAAAAACAAGGGTGGCAGAAAACAAGGTTAGAATAAGTTGGCTGACATCAAGTGCTCTTATAATATTCAGGCGTTCTAAATACAAAATATTCCAGGGTAAAATTTGATCTATCAATCCACATTCCATTACTGAGTACGGTATCACATTACTAAGTGATTTACGAACGCAACCCAGTTTCCTCACATATTTATTGTTTATTAATCAGGACCAGCAGCATTGAAGATTCGGAACTAGAGCGGGGCTTTTTGATAAAATCTTGCGGGAAGATGAGTAAAAATGATGTTGCTATAAACCGATTCAGAAGCCAATGATCTAGTCGGAAAGATAATTATTGGAAAATTTAGATCCTTCGCCTAATAACCATAATATCAAATATCTTGTCATAAACATTGCGTTTTAAATAACTGTTTAACGTTTACTTATTGTTGTTGTAAGATGAAAAATAGAAACATTGGGGTACCATAACTCATTTTTTCAACATTTCATTTCGATATTTTAAACAGATATTTTTTCATATTCTGTATTTCTGCTACATCACAGTGTCAAGTGGTTTTCAAGCGTAACTCAAGACTGTGGAACGCACGGGAGAAAGGAAAATTATGTGAAACACTGCATTTGCAAAGTAGTCTCACTTATCTATTGTAGCGTTTTTCTGGTTCTTTTTGGGTGTGGATTAAAACACTGGATTCCACAAAAGAAATGCACTAATTTATTTAACTGGATAAAACATTTATATTCACCACTATTTATATCTGACTAATTCTTATGTCACCATTGACTGCACTATACTTCTCTTCGCCCGGCTACTCCAAGGTATTCGGTATAGTCTGCCTCCATCTCCCGGCCGCCGAGTTATACTCGTATATAGTTCGCATCGTTGAGTCTAGAAGAATCGGGGGCCACATAGCGGCATTCCCGAATTGTCGAGGTTCCTTCGCGTCGATCTAGCTGGTGCGGTCGTGATTCGCGTAGAAGCAGAGATCGGTCATGAAGCTCTAGCGAGTAGGAGACTCGCCCAACAGATGGCGCCGACAGTATGATTCGTCACAATATTATTTTAACCCCTTAATTTTTTCGGATATCAACAGAGAAGAGACTTATCTCATCCGTTAGACGTTGACTTGACCATCATAACATACCTGGAGGCTGTAGATGCCCAGAAGGTGCAATGCGGACATTTGAAGACCCTCTTGTGCTGCGCCACTGAAATATCATTACCATGCGTTGGGATCTTCTCATTGGTGGGCAGAGGAGAGTGCCTACCCCGCTGACCGGCTGACTGACCTCCTGCCCGACGAAGCTGCTCTCGCTGTCCATGGGCGACTGGGTCCTGGTAGACAGGTCCAATGAGACGTTGTCGTCAACTTTATCCTCGGTGTACTCGTAGATTGAGTCATCCACTTCGATGTCCATCGGTACCATTATGTCGTTCCATACGAACACTTTGTTCTCCATTGGGTGCGGCTTTATCTCAGGTTCCTGAAAAAAAGCATAATTCACAGTACTGAAAGGTGGGGATGGGGAGATTGACTCAGTTCTTTCTACGCAATAAATATGTTCATTTTTTGAGTTGTTATTTCACTAAAATTATTATTATAGATTACTATCTGTATATCTGTATACAGGGTGTAAACGTTATGGTAGTCATTATTGAAATGGGTAATAGGGGGGCTCAAAACAAGTCAAAACGTTCATATGACCCATGGTCCCAAAAGTCAATAGATTTTTGTCTAAATGGCATTATAGTTTACAACTTTAGTGCTTTATATCGACCACAATCACCACAATCTTACTAATTTTTATAATCTAATCTAAAACGTTTTTAAATTGGGTAATCAACAAAAATATATGGCATTAAGTTTTTCTAAGTTAAGTCAAAATTTGTAGTCAGTAAGTAAGTTTCAATAAATTGAATATTTAAAACACACATGACAACAGCGCGTCGGTCATCATCACTCTTATCGAACCGGCAATCGATCGCAAACGGTAACAATGGTTAGTTATTGTTCGCGTACGTCGTCGTGTTTATTTAGAATGTTCTGGAATCAAGAGTTCGCCGACTGTTGTTAGTTTACGGTGAAGCTCGTCAGAATTCAAACTTTGCAGCTCAAGACAGAAGGACATTTGTGCAAGTGTACCAAAGACTTCGAGATACAGGAAGTGCTCAGCCCACTAATATTCGCACTCGTGAAAGACAGGTTACTGTAGAGCAGGAGGAACAAATTTTAAATATCGTGTAAATCAATGCAGATATCAGCACTCGGGAACTAGGCCGCCGCGTAGGACTATCGTATACCATAGTCCATAGAATCCTACGGGAAAATTTGCTTTATCCCTACCATGTACAACGAGTGCAGGCCTTGTTACCAGAAGACATCCTCGCAGACTAACAGTCTGTCAGTGGTTTTTGCACAAAAACATTGAAAATCCGGATTTTTTAAAAACATTCAAGCGACGGACGAATGTAGTTTTACGCGAGACGGATATTAAATTTCCATAATACTCACACGTGGGCCCAAGAAAATCCTCATACCGTTCGTGAAGGTTATTTCCAGCAACGTTTTAAAATAAATATTTGGGCGGGTATACTTGACGATCAGGTAATTGGCCCTCTCGAGTTACCCCCAAAGTTGTCAGGAGAAGGATACTTTAGCTTTCTAGCCAATAACCTACCAGAACTTTTGGAACAGACCTTAGACAACATGCCATTACAACGGAAACAGAATTTGTGGTTTCTTCATGACGGGGCACCATCGCACATTTTTAGAGGCGTCATTCAGTATTTGAATGAACATTATCCAAATCGCTGGATCGGTCGAAATGCTTCTGATCCTCAAAAATGGCCAGCAAGATTTCCTGACCTCAATCCGATAGATTTCTGGTATTGTAAGTTTTACTACGTAATTTGGTTCTTTGTTGAAAATGACAAAAAACAATTTTTGAATTGTGGTAATTTTAAGCAACTTTGAATGGTTATTTAAATTTTTAGAATGCATTTTTCGAAAAGTTTTATGTTCTTTGCACCCATTATTGGTTAATTAAATATAGTTTATTCTGTTCAAGAACGTTTTTGAATTCGAGAAAAATGCTCTAATTGGACTTAGAATGATATAGAATTTTTGTAGTGTAGCACCTATGCAAACCTTCGTATATGACCGATACAGGTCGTGGATTTAAATCCTCATGCACCAAAGGATTTCCATCATTCAGTCGGAATACTATTTCACGTGAAAAGTACAAAATAAATAACTATCAATTAATGAAAAATCAGACTCACTTCATTAAGCTGCTCATTATCTTCATCAATTTTCAACTCATGCTCCGAATCATCCTCATCCTTGGGTATCAAATTCTGCGACTTCATGCCTCAGTGCATATCTGCAGGTGATTATACAAATCTGTACTACTCTTACACCTCTGTCTACAGAACTGACATCTAGAAGAACTAATGTTATGTAATGGCACCACGTTGGGTCTCCTACCAGCCTCTTTCCCACAACTTTTCTGGTGCTTAGCGTGCTCTGTGAGGCACTTGCTCTCGTGGCCACAGTTGCCGCAGGTCAAGTTGCAACTACTGCCTAGTTCCAGTTTTTCTCTAAGGCTATCAAAGAACGAGGCGTTCTTCTGCTTGAACACATCTGTCAGTTTGCCCTTAGACGACTGCATGCCGGCGGGGTATGGGATGAGATCAGGTACTCTGGGAGGCGCGAACGTATTGAAGACGTCTTCGGAGCCGAAAAGCGACGCGAAGTCTTTCAAAACGCTGTTTGTGGACTTAGCGCAGATGTCGTTGATGTCCTTCTGGCTCATGGTGGGTTCACTGGGTTCAGGTATCTCGACGGTTTTAAGTATAGGGTACTCGGGCGGTTCCGTCTGCAATAAATGTAATTCAATTTGTTGGGGATCCGTGGTTATTTGTTAGACAATACATATGTACATATATTAGCGCTAGCATTCCAACCAAACAACAATATCTGCCCTATATTGGATAAACTATGGAAAATACAACATTTGGTTTTCTCTTTTAGCATATATTGTTTTAACATGTTATTTGCTATATTGATTGTAGATATTGGCACAAGATTTACCTGTAGTTGCGTTTGTGAACACAATATTACAGTTAAATGTTGCCACAAGAGACAGCATAATCAATAGGTGGCAGAAGTACAATATTGTTAAGACATATATTGGCCAAATATACATATAACATCCAAAAACATCAAATCTCATTTTCTAAAATTTTCGCGATTACAATACTCCAGTACGCATGGGAAGTAAAATACTAGCGCAAGTTCATATTATATCAAAAAGCCCTACTGAGCTCCCATATGGAAATCTGGGAATCGATATTTCCTAAATAACCCTGAACAACACTGTATATTTCAACTGAATTAGCATAGTAATTATTTGGGGCATCTGACAGGGTGCTGACCATGGCACACAATTAATCTATTCAGACCACCAGTAGAAGAGTTGACAAAGTGATTTGAAAATTCACATCCTGGAGTATTACAGGTGGCTAATCATAAATCTGTAATAAGAAATACTACATTTTCAATAACGCGAAATCATCATTCTGGTTCCAGTACCCGAACTATTTGAACTGTATTGAAACAGGTGTGTTTTCATCACTGTAAAACAAGAGTACATTTTTTCCAGCTTAGGAATCAGGTATTTCAAAAATGTCATCAATGAGTCATTGTTCACACAGGGGTGAAAAGTAGCAATATATACGAATGTGAAAATGAAAGAAAAACGAAGTGTCAACCTGAACGAATAAAAAATATATCGTCATCAGAATTTTCAACTGTAATTGAAAAAGGACACCGTGATGGCCGAAACGTCGCCCACAAAAAATGGAAATTAATCAATATTTTCAGAACCGCTTCAGATATTTCACTGATTTAGTACGTAGTGAAAGTTAATAAAGTTGCATATTTTTCAATTCAAAATAATTTTTAGCTTTAACAGTGGCGTGCGTACGGGTATTGACTTCGATATTTTTTAAGAAAAAAATGGTACGCCAAATGGTTTTTTGCCAAATAAAATTATTTTTGAATTCCCCGTTCAATTCAAAGAAATAATCTGTCTCGAATTGTTTTCCTACGATGCGCCATTTTTGAGTAAAATAATAAAAACCGTTCTATTGTCTAACTTTTATTAAAATTAAAATTATTATTAATTTAATTGGAAAAAGTAACACATTAGGGGTAATGAACAACAACAACTGACTACATAAACATAACATTAAAACCGAAATGATTACAACAATTGTTGAAAATGACCCCCTACACTTAGTATGCATGCTTCCGCCCTCCTTCTCATGAATTGCGCACTCGTTGAAACACCCCTGGAGGTTTTTTATTCTATACAAGCTGCAACTATTCTTTCTCTTAATTCATCTACAGTCTTAATGGGACTTGTGTACACTAGTGTCTTAAGATATCCCCACAAAAGAAATCTAAACTGTTGAGGTCTGGGGACCTTGGTGGCCATTCTTGGGGCTCTCATCAAGCAACAAAGGCAACTGGTGTTGAAGAAAATTGAGGTAAGTCTATCCGTCAAGTCGTCCCGGCAAGAAGAATGGGCGAATAAAGTGGTTGGCAATAATTCCTGCCCAAATGAATCATTGATTCAAATTGCGGATTTTGTGTAGTATTTTGAAGTTACCACTGAGAGAAGGTCACACGCCTTGGAAAATCAATGGGAAGTAATGCCTGTACTCTTAAAATATGTAAATATGTTCTTCGACTTCGTGCAGCACTGCTTCCTCAATGTCAGGTGTTCTCACACTTAGAGGTCTACCTTCAGATGTTCTTTTTCGGACAGAACCAGTTTCAGCAAGACGACGATGAATATTAGAAAAGGTTCGACTATCTGGCAAAGCACGATCGGGATATCTCTGGTGATAAATCCGTCTGGCTTGCTCATTTCCGTCGGCAAGGCTATATACGTAATGCATTTCCGCTATTTCTGCATGTGAATAATTCACCATTATTAACAAGATTGTAAAAACTAAACAACGAAAAAGATGTCACAGCGAACAGATTTGAATAACAGAGACTTGTCAGATGTCAAAAGCCAGTGACAAATTCCAGAGCAACTAGATTTACTGCTAAATTGCATTCTTCAATTATTACATTAATTTTCTCCGACAATAGAACGGTTTTATTTTTTCACTCAAAAATGACCCATCGAATGAAAACAATTCAAGAGAGATCATTTGGTTTAAATTGAACAGGGAATTAAAAAATAATTTTACTTGGCAAAAAACCATTGGCGTAACATTTTTTTCTTAAAAATATCGAAGCCAATACTCGTACGCATGCCACTATTAAAGCTAAAAATTATGTTTGCATTGAAAAATATGCAACTTTATTAACTTTTACTTCGTACTAAATATCTGTGAAATATCTGGAGCTGTTCTGAAAATATGAATTAATTTGCATTTTTTTCCTAAAACTTCAACACCCCGAGTTTTTGTAAGGAAACATCTTTGGACCATAGTTTATAAAGCAAACTAACATTAATTTTTCATGTAGATTCACACCCTTAAATATTCGCATATCATTAAGGAACACCCTGTAGATATCATTATATGAGGCCCCAATTCGTCGACAAGGAATATTTAAGAAAAAACGATTTTCAGTCCTTTAGGGCCGTATCGTCAGTCGTTCCTAGAATTGTAGGACGCCTTCATGGCCTCCTTGATTTTCATAGTCTTTCCTCTCCTTCAGAAAGGCCGGGATATTTCTATATTTCTAATGTTCCGTGTCAGCGTCAGCGCTCTCCTATTGTCAGGCTATGTTTTCTCTTTGAATTGTAGGAAATTTCAGGCTATATAACAGATAGGAAGCGTAACAAACTATGAAAATCAAGGAGGCCATAAAGGCATCCTACAATTGTAGGAACGACTGACGATGCGGCCCGAAGGAATCTCTTTCTTCCTATGGGATCCCTTAGATCATTTTTTTCACTACTTATCCAAAAGTCGCCATTACTGACAACAATGCCTTATTGAGAAGTAGCATTTATGCATAACGAATACAAAAAAATAACACTTAGGTTAATAATACTGTAATTCGAAATTGTATCCTGTCAGTTTCATTGTGTCAGTTTGTCAAGCGAAGTTTATTTTCGGAATATTTTAGAACGATTGAGAACTAGGCAATTTTGAGTATCGAGATAATGTTTGAAAGTCGCTTTAGTTGAAAAAACATTTTTTATTTTAATCATCTGGAATGGACCAGTCCAATAACATCAGCTGACTGCTGCATTCATTAATCTGGGTTTATCACTTTGACTCCAGACTACTAGATACTTTAAAGTATTTGTAAAATGAGTTGGATACGTCACGATCGTGGCGGAAAATCGAATATTTATGATATAGTGTTAGTTGTGAAAATAATATTGTATACCTATAACTCGCCGTCATTGATCTCGCACAGTATACCTTTGGCGCCTCTAACCATGGTCCAGTTCTCAAAACTAGGTATGTAATGTACTATTTCGTATTATCTTTCGTATTCTATGAACATCGGACAGATTACCATCGCCTAGGGCATTTTAATGTGTTTTGGCCATTTTCGAAACATCGTATTGTGTCTGATACGTAGTACGAATAGAATTTTAGCGAATATCACATATGACGCTTCTCAATCTTAAAAACCGTTCAAAATAACTCCAAGGCTCACCACCTTGAAGGCCACACCTGGTCATCAAAGATTTCCTGACTTTTTAAAATACACCAGGTCACTTATTAGGACAGAAAGGCTCACTAATCTAGAATCCTCGGTATGGTTGCTTGTGAGTCTGTAACATAAAGATATCCAGACATTGATAAGTCGATGAGGTCCTAATTTAAGACCTGTTCGATCTAGGATTTAAACCACTATTGCTTATGGTGTTTTTCTGAAAAATTGGATAATGTTGACAATAACTCAGTATGATTGATGCTAGTGTATTTGATACAGTTTGGCAGTCTATGACTCTGATTGAAGCGTAATGCGCATGCGCCCTTGTGTAATTCTCTACGTGAGCTAAAAAATTCTATGATTTGTGACATACTATCCATTCATCCTAATTTTCTGTTTTGCGAATGAATGAAATGTAACTAAGCCTTACCTTCTGATTCTGCTTAACGACAGTAGTCGGTATGGGTATAAGATTAGGAATAGGCCTAGGCGGTTTCTTTATCACCGACTTGTGGTTCTCTCTGTCGATGTTGTGCACCTTTCTCTCATGTTTGGCCATCTCCGAGTCCCAGGCCGACTTGTAGTTGCACAGTCTGCACTTGACCTTGATGTACACCTTGCCATTAGAGTGGTGTAGAATATCGTCCGGGTGGATGAAGTCGGAACCTCC